TGTCTCCGACTCAGGGGGAAGGTGGCGGCCCAGCGGGGTCTACGGGAGCCGGGGTGGGATGGGAGGCGGTGGAAAGGAGAGAGGCGGCCTAGCGGGATCTGCGGGGACCGGGGGGTGGGGCAGGAGCGGGGCGGGGAGAGTGTCCCAGCCGGGTCAACGGAGGTCGGGTCCAGCGTCTGAAGTGGCCAAGGTGGGAGGGGGCAGGAGGTGGCCGAGGTGGGGAGCGGTGGGCTGGGTCTACGGAGGCGGGAGCCGGCCGCCGAGGTGGCCAAAAAGGAGGGGGCGGAGGCCTGAGTCGATTGGGACCGGGACTGGCGACTGAGCTGGGGCCATGGGGGCCCCAGGGATAGGTGGCCGTGATGGAGGTGGCCAGGCGGGTCGGAGGGAGGAGAGCCGCGGATGACCCGGTGCAGTGGGCCAAGTGAGAGCCCCTGTCCCTTCTGGACCTGTACTGAAAGAGGAAATGAAAGGGGGCGCCCCAGGAGTCCTGCCCCAGGGAGTGGGAGTAAAGGGGAGGGAACAGACCCCCCCAATTCCTTTCTGCTGGGAGTTGGGGAAATCCCCACCCACCCCCCACCCTGCCACCATCCCACCGTCCAAGCCCGCAGAGGGTTGGATCTTTCTGTTTACTGGGGTTTGAAGGCGGAGGCAGAAAGGGCTTTCTACAAGCCAGTCGGCTCCAGAGGCATGCTTAGGGAGGGTGAGCAAAGATTCTTGGACTGCGTGAAGACGGTTCGAGGGAACAGACTTGAGCGTCCCACTTAGCCCAGTCAGTCCGATGTTGACGCTATTTTTTACCCAAGCCCTTTCAACTCCATTTTCTCCTTGGGCGCCCGCACTCTGTCCGCAGCCCCTGCTACGGACAGGCTCTGTGCTGCGTGCTGGGAAACCAGCAGTGGCAGCAGTGAGAGGGAGGCAGATCAGGGGTGTCACCCCTACTTTGGTAGAAGGAAGTGTAATAATGCCAGGCTCTGTGCATAGCACCTTACGTATATGTGCTCAAAACCTCACAAAAACCTTCTAAGGTAGGAATTATTTGACCCCCTTTATAGGAGGGAAGAGGAGGCTAAGCCTCCATCCCAACCCATTGACTCCAGGTCACGCACAGCTATGATTTGAACATCGGCCTGCTTCTTTCAGAGCCTGTGCTGCATAATGGGCCCCAGGGAAATGAAGCAATTTGTCCACTCTTGATAGGCTAGTTGGTGCTGGGGCAGGGACAGAGCTCCACTCTACAACTTGTCTGGTGTGTGCCTGTGCAGTAGGAATGCTGTTTCTTCTGCCTCGGAACTTCCCCCAATTCTATCTTGAAAAAAACATTCCCTATCCTTAAGGCCTAGTTCAAATACCCCCTCTTTCATGATGCCTTCCCTGTAACACCACATGATACCTCTCATGGGGCTTAGAGACAGCAAGTAATTACAATGTGAGGCAGCATGTATGTCAGCTCAACATAGCAAACCTTTGTCGAGGGGCTGCTGCGTACCAGACAGATTAGTACAAACTAGTTTCCTCTCTTTGAGGACAGGAAGCAACCATTGCTTATATTTCTCTCTGTATCTCACTTTATAAGATACTTTTAAAAATCTCTAGTGAATGAATGAACACGTGTGCCTACCCTTGAAGAGCCTGCATTACATTTGGAGAAATGTGCAGAAACATTTGAGGGCTAAATTATGAAGTTGAGAATATAAATGCAAAGGGAACTTGGAAAGCAAACCCCTGGGCTGCTCATGGGGAAGTTTGCTGAGGCAGAAGTTTCTTGAGCAAAGCCTTGAAAAATGGATTTGCATAGGAGTAGAGCAGGGAGGATATTTCTGTGGCGGAAATGGGGTGAGCCCAGGACACCTGTCTGACATGAAGGGTGTGAACTGCGATTAGAAAGGAGAGACATGAGCTGGGTGGAGTGGGTCCAGATTGCAGAGGTCTGTAGAAGCCAGCCAGGCAGGCAAAAGAGTCGCTGTTAGCTTGGGAGGCCAGAGTAGGTTATAGCAGGTTCCGGACTAGCAATGTAATCATTCGCCCCAGACAGAGAGGAACGTTCCCCACTCCAGATGAATACCAGGAGCTCTGGTAGAAAACTCCTAGTTCAACAGGGCATACAACTCTGACCTAGGAGCAGGGGAAAGGTGATGGCAGAGGAAAGCAGAAGACTAACTCATTAGAAGGTGCTGGAAGATCCTTGTTTAAAAACGTCAGCTAAGTTCAGATTGTGTTTCAGATCTCTAGTGCACAAAAAAATAATCATCCTCCTTCAAGCAGTCATCTGTGTGAGGTTAGAGGTAGTAATAATTTGCAAAGCAGCTTTGGGGGCCCAGCCAAGTTCTGGCCTGGGAGGCAGGAGCCCTGTTTTTTAGCCTTAGTTCTGCCACCAAACTAACTTTATGACCTTGAGAAGTATACGTAAAACCTCTTCTCTGGATTTTAAGGTCACCACTTCTGCATCTCTAAAGGCCCTTCTTGTTATTTTATTTCTTAGATAAAATAGAAATCTGATTATTATGAGAAATAATTTAATTCTTAAAATTTGATTCAGAATATACCTCAGATATAAGAATGGAAGGTTTCTCAACTTTCTGCCTCTACTGAGAGCTGGAAGAATGGAGGGAGCGGGCAGAGCACAGTGACTATTTCTAGTGTTTCCCTCTTGCCCTGTTCCTTTAGGAGGTAGTGAAATATAATGGTTAAGACACAGGCTTTGGGATAGACTGACTTGGGTTCAAATTCAGCTCCATGACTCACTGGGGAATGTGACCTCTCTGAACCTCTGTGTCTTCATCTGTGGGATGAGGGTAATAAGAACTGCTCCACTGAGTTGCTGTGAGGGTTAAATGAGGGACACCCAAGGATACTGGGCATGTAGCAAGGCTCAGTGAATAAAGAGTAGCTGCTACAATTTGTAGAGTCGCTGAGTGAAAGTATAGTTGCACAGAGCTTCTATGTCTAGATTTCAACGATTTTCTTTCATCATTATTTCCTCGAGCTCCCAGCACCTTATGTGGCTTATAGACCACAAGCTCTGATGTGTTTAACTTGAAAAGGCAGCAGTGTTTCCATGGAAGTGTTTGGCTACACCCAGAGGAGGAGGTTAGTAAGTCATGGTGAAAATATATCTTCCAGGGCAGGATGGCACCAGTAGTTCTTCTTGGAGATTTTCATTCTTCTGCCCCATTTTCTAAGTCAGCACAATAAGCATTTAGAGAAAGTTGCCCTTCTTTCCTCCTGATTTCTTCTCCTCTATCCCATTTCCTCTTTATCTGCCCTAAAGTGTATTGCATGGTCAGGAATGTGGGTAGAGGAAAGAAAGAGCCAGAGATATTTCTTCCTCTCCCTGAGCTTGTGCAAAGATGCTTCTGAACGCTGGACTACATGGACCTTAAATTACAAGGTAGAACTTTGTAAGCCAGCCCTCTTGGTTTTCTGCATTTCAGTGTCCAAATAGAAAGCCCCTATTACTGTTGATTGCTTCTTCTCTCTTCCAGGCTGGCAAGACCCCCAGAGGCCAAGGCATGAGCCTGAGTGCCCCGCAAACAGGGTGTGTGTTAGAGGTGGGGACCTCCTTGATAGTTTGGTTCTGGAGAGCTAGGACCACCTCTCCCAGTCCCAGGAGCTCCCCAGCTCCAAACCCTATAGCTCCGTGCAGTAGGGGAATTCTTTCTTGGTACTACCAGCACTATGTGTGGCTTCTAGACCACAGGCTTTAACTGAGTCCCAGTTTTTATGGAAGGTAACCATGGTACCTACCTTTTAGAGGCAATGTAAATATTCAGTTGATTTTCGCCTCCACTCAGTCTTCCTCATCCCACCACGTGCCAGTAACATCCATCCAGTTGCTCAGAAGTCATCTTTGCCTCCTCTCTTTCTGTCACCCATCCTCCACACCCAATGCATTATATTAGCAAATCTTGTTGGCTTTACCTTCAAAATATATCCAACATCTCCAACTTCTTGTGACCTGCACCGTTATCCCATAGATCCAA